AAGGATTCAGGTGACTGGGTACAAGATTGCCAACACGAGGGGTTTCCCGGTACTGCAACTCACTGACGCAAATGTTGCTACTTCACAACACTGATGGTCAAGAAACCGGTATGGAGGACTGTGGTTCTCGAGGGAATGTGCTCGTCCGCCCGTACCTCAGCAAAAAAAAAAGGTTCGTCCGGCTACAAACGGTACCGTTTATTCTCGCGGCTGCTAGATCATTCAGGTGGGGGAGGTATTAAAGCAGTGAGAAAGGTACTCTAGGAAGACTATGTGCTGATTAGCGCTCTTATAGGTACTTTGGACATATATTTTCCTCTTACACGCTCTCAGTTGGGGAGGTCTTAAGTGTTGGTGTGATATTGTTTAATATTTGTTTCGACTAGAGAAGATAGTACTATATAGTGATATGTAAATAAAAATAAAAATAGAGGTTGGCAATATTTTTCTTTATTAGTTCAATACAAAGGGAAAGTGTGCAAAGTTTTTTAGGCGCGGCAATGGTGCAAAACTGTGCAGTTTTAGTGGTTAGCTCTGAATGACTGGTCTCTGTTCCTTTCTGTAAGATTGATAACCTCCGTCGAAAATGTTTCCTTTTCAGGTATACGTCATCTCCCGCCTTTTCTCCATCTCTGCCTTTTTACTCCAATCTGAGCCTTTACTCCATCTGCTGCTTTACTCGGGCGTTTTCTTCCTTATCCGATGGGTGTAGGTCCGCGTCAAAAAAAAGGTCCGCAGTTTGTTCAGCACCTGCTGCGGCAGTGACTCAAAGAGTCATCAGAGTGGCAGTAGCATGTGAGAGGTCCAAAACGAGTAGGGTTTCATCAGACTGACTGAGGGAAGGCTCTGGTTTCATCGTTGTCGAGATCTGGTTCTTTCTTCATAGGCTCCTTTATCAGATGAACTGTTCCATTCTTCCACAGGCTGTATGTCATAAAGAGAACTATTTTATCACTTTTAAATAAAGGAAGTGGGAGTGTCTCTCTCTACAAAAGGAGGGCACATAGAAGACATACCCTTTCTGAGGAAGTTATGTTTGCGTTCTGCTATCATACCAATGACACGGTTTAGGCGTTTTGATGCCGGCGTGTTCCTTCATTCAATTCTACCAGCCGATAAAATCAAATTTACAAATTCTGATGGACCAGTGTAAAACTGTTGAAGGAAAAAGGGAGACTAACTTTAATTATTATAAGTCTTCTTGCGCTCGTTTGTTTCGTTAATATTCAAAGAGAAGTATCAATTACCAGCGATAAATCAAAAAACTTAAATTTGGACTGGTCAGTGGAAAACTGTTGAAGAAAAAGGAGACTCAACTTAAAAGAATATTATACGTCTCTTGCGCTCGTTTGTTTCGTTAATATTCAAAAGAGATGTTTTAGCAACATAAATGTCTTCGCTACCAGACTCGAGCATGTCTGCTTTCCTTCACCCATGATGAGAGTAAAGCTAAGGAGAGGTCAGCCTTATCTTTTGCGGGGAAGGAAGCTTCAGCGGGCTCTAGTATAAGCTCAGAGAGGATTACCAGCCAGGAGAGGTATTTGGGGATCCTCTGTCAGAGTGACTTCCTCACTGAGGGACGCACAAATGTAAATAGATATTAGGCAAAATGTAATTTCACAGGAGAGGGCACATTTTACAATTTCTCTAGATAAGCTATCATAGTCTGTCATTGATAAAAAGCGATTTTTCCGAGAAATTTTTTTTTTTTTTAAATATAAAGCTCTTTCGAATCACTAAGACTTGTTTTATGAATAAACATATAACATATAGACCACAAGTGAGTGAAAAAAATCACTTTGTGTACTTGCCGGATAATATAAACGATATAAATATTTAATTTTATTTAGTTTAAGAAAAATTTTTAATTTATGCCATAATTCTGGGTTTTTTCCCGTAACTGTCAAAGAAGTGGATAATAAACTATTTTTCTAGTCCAAGAGAAGAGAAAAAAAAATGACCATTACTTTTTGAAACTGTACGAAGGAAGAATATTGCATACAAGCATATGGGCCGGTCCGAGGATACATCTAATCTTATTTGCTTTAGAGCCGTCTTAGTGAACCATGCAATATATGTGACTTTATTTCCTAGGGCGGAAATAAACTATTTTTATTTTGCGCAATTCATTTTTTATTTATGTCGCCACATCACAATGAACAGATGTATTCGGGTCGATGGATAAAACACCAGTGTCTGAGAGACAAATACTAAAATACCTTTTATGAGGGGGGGCTTAGAGAACACTGTAATTCAATTCTAAGTTACAGATTTTTCAAATCGGAGAGCGTCTTCACTTTCGCTGTCTGTTAAATTGAAAATATTGATGGTTCGCCCGGAGGGAATGATTCATAGAGAATAAAATTTTCTTCCTCATGCAGAGCGTTAATTGTTCATAATGAATTTACTATATGATGGGGGGAAATCCATGGCTTTGCGATAACTGTATTATTATTAAATACATCAGTAAAACTGGTTAGATCCCATGCTCAAACAATATAGACCATCTCCTTCTGTTTTCCTGGCTAGGCTGTCATGGGCAAATTACCATAAAATTTATGGCGGGAATTACATGACATGGTGATCTATTAGGAGGCTCGTTTGATTGTGGGGGAACTAGCATATAATTTTTATTGAGTGCGATTAAAAGTAAAATATTATCGGCTTTGCGTCTAAGGCTAGAGCTTGTTCAAGGCCATTTAGCAGATGTAATGGGTATACCTATTTAGCCAAGCTGCGTATTAATATGGAGCTGGTATGTGCTGGCATATCATCTGTTTTCAGAGTCCACGCTTGAGGGGATAATTCAGCTAATTTTTTAAATCGATAATGTCAAGGGCATGATTTTGGTCCAGAGTGGATATGTCCAGAGCAAGGAAAACCAGAGTTATGCTGTTCTTTATCATTTCTTTGTCAGTATTCTGTGGATCTTTTGCTGATAGTGTGGGCGATAGGCAGTATCGAACCCAATTTGATTACCTTCTCCTTTAAAACGACGGGCAAGAGAACCAGTCTGGCGATACTGACAATGGGATGTTTTAATGCGCTGCAGAGTTTATAAATGAACAGTAATTAAAACTAGAATTTGTTTCCGTTATTTGCTCGCCCAGAAAACACTGGACGCTTTTTAAATAAACGTTTCGGATAGACCATTTTTTCAAGGCCACGTTGTTTGTGCTCTTGTGGACTGTGCCTCAGCCTCTGTTAAGAGTCACTCTAAATTCTATAATATTTTGTAAATCTAGAAATGCTCCGGGAACTCCAGGAATTCTCTAAATTCTAGAAGAAAAATTCTTATAGTTTCTGAGAGAGAGGAAGGTTTACTGGTTAGAGTATCAAAACTCTGAGGTGTGAGCTATGGAACTCTCAATTGTTGTCTTGGCGGTCGCGGGCATTGATTAATGACGCTGAAGAAGAATATTTAATGGGATTTGAGTCACTGTTTTCAGCCCGACACCGCCATGTATAATAACTGTTTATACGAGAGAGAATACATCGGTTTTATAACCAACTTGACTTCGTCGGCCGTTTATTTCACCTTGCATTTATTATTCACCCGTCGCTTACCACCCTTTTTACTCTGCACCTGTAATAAACTTTCTTTGCAACTCCTTTTAAAGCATCTATCCGTGAGAAGTTAGAGCAGCTTTATGTTCTGTTTTTCCAGACTGATAATCATCGGAGTTATTTAGTTCCAAATTCTAATACTTGCGAGCCATTAAAATAAAAAGGTAAAGCTCTTTTAGCTAGACCCGTAATAAAGCGAAAAAAAATCCCACCTCGGACTTGTATGGCGGTGGAACGTTTGTATATCCCCCCAGACAGCCCACATGGAGGGTTTTAGGGCGAAATAATAAACTCGAAATTTCATGCTCAGAGGGCACTTTGAAAGGGTACACTCAGTTTGGCGGTTTAGAGAAACCATACCATTTTTACGCTGAGTTGGTTTATTTATTTATCGGTCCTTACATGTAACACTACGGTAGTGGAAGACCGCTTTCAAAGACAGATTACGGACCAAACTGATCTGTCATTTGATAGTTTTTTATCTATTTAGTTACGCATAGAGGTTTGTAATCATGGGATGAGCGCCTTTGGAATAACTCTCCTCGAAAGGAAGCATCCAGAATATTGATAACTGACTGCCGTATATTTGCAGTTCCACAATCTACTTATATTAAAACTTAATCAACTCCGGCAGTGGGCTCAGGTTAGAATGGTGCCTGTCTGTTTGGGAGGGAGGTCTCGGGCACCTCACTACGATTAAATTACTATTTTTAGGGCTGCTAAGCAAGAACCGAGCTATTCTCGGTTTAAATTGAGCTTTAAATAAAGTGGCAGAATTGTTTTTTCCCGTAAAGGTTGCGATCTGCTCGAAAATAAAAGCCTCCCCAATTCCGGCATCATAACTGAGTATTTTTCGTTCGGGTAATGTGCAGAATAATTTTCTAAGGCTTTTTTAAATCAGCTGTTAGCGGTCGGATATTTTTCTTCAAAAATATGGCTGGTATCCCGGTCGATAAAACAATATGTTTTGGTAGATAGTGGTTTACTCTGCTTTCTGTAATTATTCCTGTCTATCAGTAATGTGATTTTGTCTAATGTCAATTGGCATTCGGAACGATTTTGTTTAGCACATTGATTTTTTGGGATACAAAACATTAAGAGGTATTTCGTAGTGCAAAGATGAATTTAAGGCGTCGCAGTAATTATATTTTGAAAGCGAAAGCTGTATTTCGAATATGTAATATTTTCTAAACTGTCAATCGATATATTTCCCGGACCCCTCTGTCCTGTTGAGGGGGACAGGTCAGTATGAGGCAAATACAAAATATAGACCATTATATATAATTTTTAAAGGCTTAAAAACTTTTAATTGAAGACTTTACTTTTTTATTTTTTTATTAGTTACTGCATTTAGGAATAAAATATCCACTCATCGTGCTGTCGTTTGCGTTTTCGCATGAAGTGACCTCGACCCTCAGGCTGTCCATTTCACCATGACACTGTCTCGTTTTGTTCCAATCCCACGCTGGACTGAAGTCAGCCCCATTGGCACCGCCGCTAGCCGCTGCCGCCACCACGCCACGCCACTGCCGCCGCCGCTGTTGCTGCTAGTGCCTTGCTTCTCCACAGACGCTGTAGTATTTCCCGTTTAGAGCTTCGGGGGAGGAGGCGCCGCGCGTATCAATTTCAACCTCATCTAGGATGATTTTAGGTACTGTCAAGTATGGGTCACTGACGGTACAGCAAGCATGTCTGAATTTCCCGTTTCAGTAATATGTCTTGAAATATGTTAATGAGAGGGAGATATTCAGTGTGCCATTCATCGCCTGTTTTCTGCTCATGCCAATGTACTGGGGTAAAATTACCCGTTTGATTGTTGCCATTGGCTATCACCGCCCGATCCCAGGGACACCAGACATAATTTAAACCAAATTCGTCGATTCTGTTGCAGTGTCCTTGCTCAAACCGCGTACATAATGCGTGTCGAGACTACGCTCTAATTGTGTTGCGCAATTTCATTCTGTTCAAGACAAGGACCCGCGAGAAACTGGCATATTAGCGCTGCAAGGTGCGGTCTTAAAAAATCCTCCGGCCTGTCATCGAGGGTGTTGGTGCATGGTGGGGGTGATTTTAGGAAAATTTTTCCCCGGGTGTGCCCCGATCTGCAGCTATGGCACGGTTCACGAAGGATTAGCGATTTTCGCTCAATTTGGGAAAATGGATATTTTCCCCAGAGTGAAAGAGCCGCTCGTAGGGACGAGCAGAAGTAGCGTTGTGGGATACACGATACAATCCCCATATTCCAGGAATTCTTCGTCCCGTTATTCCCCCGACAATTACTGCAATTTATATTCCTCTTCTCAACAGTTGGGTTCCTTAGAGTCCTCGCTGAGGGAGTGAGACGGATAATGTTTATCGGTACGTCGGCAGCGGGTTTAAATACCGTGCTGCTGTAGCCTCCCACTCCTGCGGGTGGGTTGGTAGGGGTTTGGGGACTGCTCTAGGTCGACATTCGTCTAAGGTGCTTATACAAGGTTTGGGCCCCTTCAAAAGCTTCTATCATATCCCGGAAATCATGCGTAGCATATTCTAAGCGTCTGATTTCAGCCGTCAGTTCTTTCTGATTAAAATTGTCATATAATTTTTCAATTTCATCAAAAGTCTTAGTAAATCTGGTCATGGGGCAATTGACTTTGAAGGATTCGTAGGTTTGCCATAAACTTTGTATCACACGAGCCTTGTAACACACTTGCTGATAAATCTTTCGTCTTGACGTTAATTGATGTAATAATATCGACAAACTGGGGTCCTTTTCTCCTTCTTCATTCAACGGGAGATTAATTCTCTCGGGATAATCAACTGATGGCTGGTCCATTTTTTTTTTATGAATAGCACTTCGAGAAGGAACTTCTTGTCTCTATCCTGTCCCGGTATTTACTAAAGCAGGCAAAGCTCTTCTCTCGACTTTATGAAAGCTTAAATTTCAATAGGCTAGCCAGAGCGGCTTTTTTTCCGCGCTCTTTTTAACATAAAAACCGCCTAATAATTGTTTTCTCGCCTTGTGATTTTTTATAAATCTTGGCTCTAATCTAATAAGGGTCACTAATTCCCTTACAACGGGCAAAAGTTTTTTATCGATGTACGCTCGACTGCTTGTCAAAGATTTAATGATTTGTAAGATGTTTAAATTTGGTATGGAGGGAATAAAATACCTCTCTTATCCCAGCGAATAAAAGGATTATTCTTGAAAAGATTCAGCATGGATTTCGCGTATGGTAATTCTTCTCTCGTGAAATACAGATCAATTATTTCATTTAAATTTGGGGAAGAGTCCTCAGGCGAGAGAGAAAGACTATTGTTTTTTTCTTGAAAATTAAGAAAAAAGTTTTTTCCGGGGAGTTTATTATTGCCTATTTTTTTTGGGTTTGGTTTTTTTTTTTTTTTTTACTCTTAGCCCGTCGCAGCCCTCCCGCGGACGCCCCCCGCCACTGCAGCCGCAGCCCCGCCCCCGCTGCCGCCGCCACCCCCCACCAGCGCGCCGGGCCACCCCCCGCGGCCCCCAATTACAGCGACGAGCAAAATTGGTTTTTTTTAAAGGGGGGATTTAAACCCGCTAAACCCAAAGAGGTCGGACGGGTGCCCGTCGTGGGGGGTGGGGGCTCAAAGGGCGGCAATTCCCCCTTATATGGGCGATTTGGGCTACGGGGGGCCGGCCCTGCCCTTCCCATCCTTGTTTTGGGGGCTGGCTAAACTTTCACCCCTCGGAGGGGGAAAATTTTCCTTTCTACGCACCAAGTGGTGGTTGCGGAGTTTCTGCAAAGGGGGGGAAAAAGGGAGTTTGGTTAAAAGGAGTGGGTAAAAAGGGAAAAAATTTGTTCCATTTCAAAAAATATTTTTTTTCGGCGGTTACCAAAGGGTTTGAGCAAAATTCCTTCACCCCCATTTCGATTATTTTTTACTTTAAAAAATTTTACTAATCCCCGGATGACCAGAGGTAAAGGGGTATTTAAAGATGGTCCCCCCACGCTGACCAGAGGTAAAGTGTATTAAGATGGCTCCTCCACGCTGCCCCAGAGGTAGAGTGTAAAGGGTTAAGTGGCCCCCTCCACACTGACCAGGGTAAGATGTAGTTAAGATGGCTCCCCCACGCTAAACCAAGGGGAAAGAGTGTATTAAAAGATGGTCCCCCACGCTGACCAGAGGTAAGAGTGTAGTTAAAAAATGGCTCCTCCACGATGACCAGGGGTAAGATTTGAAAGTTAAGATGGTCCCCCAGGCCCGGGAGGAAAGAGGGGTATTTAAAAAGGGCTCCTCCACCCCTGACCGGGGAAAAGGGGGTAGTTAAAAAATGGCTCCTCCACGCTGCCCAGAGGTAAAGTGTATTAAAGGATGGTCCTCCACGCTGCCAGGGGTAGAGTTATTTAAAGATGGCTCCTCCCGCTGCCCAAGGGGTAAGAGTGTATTAAAGATGGCTCCCCACCTGCCCAAGGGGTTAAGATTGTATTTTTAAAAATGGCCCCTCCACGCTGACCAGGGGAAAAAGAGGGGTATTTAAAGGGATGGCCCCTCCACGCTGACCAGAGGAAGAGTGTAGTTAAGAGGGCCCTTTCCACCCCTGACCAGAGGAAAGATTTTAAAGTTAAGAGGGGCTCCCCCAGCTACCAGAGGTAAGAGTGTATTTAAAAAAGGTTTCCACGCTGACCAGGGGTTTAAGGGAGTGTTGTTAAGAGGGCCCCTTTTCCCCCGCTGACCAGGGGGGTAAGAGTGTAGTTAAGATGGCTCCTCCCCCGCTGCCCAGAGGAAAGAGTGGTTTTTAAGAGGGGCCCCTCCACGCTAAAAAAAGAAAAAAAGGTGAATTTTAAGGGGGCCTCTCCACGTTTGCCCAAGGGGTTTAAGAGTGTATTAAGATGGCTCCCCCACGCTGACCAGGGGTAAGAGTTAGTTAAGATGGTTTCCCCCAAAGGGCTGACCAGAGGTAAGAGTGTATTTAAAGTGGCTCCCTCCAGGGCTGCCAAAGGGGTTAAGATTGTAGTTAAAAAATGGCCCCTCCCGGGACCGGGTAAGAGGAGTTGAGGGCCCCTTCCCGCTGACCAGAGGTAAGAGTTAGTTAAGAGGGCCTCCCCCCGGGCTGACCGAGGTAAGGTGTAGTTAAAGGGCCCCTCCACGCGGGCCCGGGGTAAGATTTGTATTTAAAAGGGGTCCCCACGCTGCCCCAAGGTAAGAGGTAGTTAAGATGGTCCTCCCGTTTTCAAAAAAAAAAGGGGAAAAAATTTTTTTTTTTTTTTTTTTTTTTATAAAGTGGAGTTCTTTTACGGGCAAGGGTTGAAAAAAAATGTCCCTCAAAACTTCTTTAATTTGTTTAAAAATAATGGGTTTTTTTACTTTTTAAATTTTTTCTTAAAAATTAGTAAAAAATCTCAGATATGAAATTTAATTTTTTTTTTTTTTAAAATTTTCCTTAAAAAAAACGATTGCGAGCTTTGGGAAATTTGTTTAAAAAATTTTAAAAAAAAAACTGTCCCCGTGTTGCACTGCCCGGGGGTTACCTCTGTCTGACATTTTGTATGTCCTTTTTTCGTGCACCACTATCTGCACTTCAGGGGTAACCCACCCCGCTATCTGCACTTTTGGGGGAACCCACCCAGCTACTGCCTTCTGGGATAACCCCCCCCACTATCGCACTTTGGGATAAAACCCCCCCACCTCCCCCAGATTTTTTTCACGCCCTATTTTTCCCCCTCCGGGCTCAATATTTTAATGGGGAAAAAATTTAAGGAGAGATGTTTCTATTTAAATTTCCCGAGGTAAAATTTTCCCCAGTATTTTTTTTCCCCCCTCAGGGGCGATAAAAGAATATGTGGGGATTTCGCGGAATTTTCAACCGATTGGATTTTTAAAAAATTTTTTTCGGGGTTTTGAGGGGGAAATAACTCTTTTGAAAAGTCCCCCGGGGGCAGTTATCCGACATTCGCTCCAGGAGGGCGTCGTGGACAGTACGAGGCTGGAGGACGGGGGGATATAAAAACATTTGCCCCCAAATGCCGACGGGAAAGTCTCGAGGGAAAATCAGAGAATGCACCCCGTTGGGGAGTTTGACCTTTCTTGGGAGGGGGGAGTTTTAGTTTAAGTTTTACTATGGGGGTGGTAATACCTCTATATATTTTAAAAAAATTGTTAAAGCATATAGCGGGAGATTTTAGGGTTAAGCGGGGCGAAAAGCTCGTTCCCCTATTGCAAACCCCTTTGTGGGCCGAGAAAGGGACTTTATAATTTTAAAATTTTTTTTTTTTTTGGTAAATTTTAGAAGAGGGGCGGTTAAAAAAAACTCGGTCCCTTGTCCTGTGTAAAACTCGAAATTCCAGGGGAAGGAGGGGCTTTCTAAAAATATTTTGAAAGGCTGACAAGACGCTTTTTGGTTTTTTTTTGACTAGTCCTTTCCCCCTTCATTAACCTTGAAAAGCATCAAGCCCCTTGTGGGAATGTTTAAAAAAGTCAGTCCGCCAAAAAATGCAGGTGGTATAATGGGGAGGGGGAGCGGCTATGGTTTTTCCCTTGGGGAAAAAGCCGGGGCTGCAATTTATGCAAAAATTAGGCCCGAGAAAAGAGATAAATTTCTACGGGCCTTTTTTAAGTAATTTAAAGGCCCTTTTTTTCCCTAGCCGGGTCAAAAAGTTTTTTAAAAATTTTCCCCGTTAAAACCACCGGGGGTATTTTACGTCTCTATATATTTTTCTAGAAATTTTTTTATGTGAAATTTAAGGCCATTTTTTTTTTTACCATGGGATACAGGGTTTTACAGTTGCCCCCTCCGGTAATGAAGCTTTGTTTTAAATTTAAATTTTCCTTTTGGACGGGGTTTAAACCCAAACCCGAAGAAAAGCCCCTATTTTTTCCGCAGTTTACGTGGGCCCATATATCTCAAAAAATTTTTGGGGCTAGATTTTTTTTTCCCAAAAATTTTTCGCCCGACATTCCAAATGAGACAAGGGTCTCGTTGTCTTAATAAAATATTGGGTACAATTAAGGGGATTGCGAGCGTATTTTCCTTGTGGAAATAAATTTTTAGATATGAAAAATTAAAGGGATATTTGCTCGTGTCTTTTCCCCTTTTAAAAAAAAATTTGCTTAATATCCCTCTTAACTGCCTTTTTAAAAAAAGGGCCTCAATTATATACAGAAGCTATTGTCTGTCTCCCAAAGGGGGTTTTGGGGAATCCCCGGGTTAATGAGACCTTTCACTAAAAAGATTTTCCCCACAAGAGAGGTGATTTGTTTTAAAGGGGGGGATTTTTTTATCCCGACTGGAAATGAAAAAAATTTTCCCCGAAAGAACCCGGATATTTCAGACCTAAACCTCCCCTAGACTTGGGTTTGCCTGCCCCCCTAAAAAACCCGCAACAAGAAATTTTGCAGGCCTTGAAAATATTTTAACTCTTCCTTGTAAAGGTACAGACCTTTTCCTCTTCCCTTCTTTAAAAAGAGCCTTTTGGGGGAAGAATCATTTATATATAAACATTTCTTTTTAGTTCAAAGCAGAGGGGAGGGGGGAGTTTATCCCGGAGATGAAGATAACAATGCCAGGACGTCCTTCTCCCGCCAGGAGACCATAGAAAAAAGCCCGACCGACAGTGAAGGTCGTCTGGATATTACCCGGTGTCATTGTGATGATAGCAGGAAACGCAAACATAGACTTCCTCAGGAAAGGGTATGTCTTCTATATTTCTCTCCTTTGGTAGATTAGAGACGAGTCCCACTCCTTTATTTGAAAGTGATAAATATGTTCTCTTTATGACTTACAGCCTGTGGAAGATGGGAACAGTTCATCTGATATAGAGGAGCCTATGAAGAAAGAACCAGATCTCGACAACGATGAAACGCAGAGCCTTCCCTCATGTCAGTCTGATGACCTCGTTGTGGACCTCTCTACGCTTGCTACTGCTCAATCTGATGACTCTGTTGAGGTCACTGCCGCAGCAGGTGCTGAGGTGCTGAACAAACTGCCAACCTTGAAGCGCACCCTGACAACCAGTCGGAGAAGGAAGGGAAAACCCCCGACGTGAGAGTAAATGCTGGAGATGGAGTAAAGCCAGCAGATGGAGTAAAGACAGCAGATGGAGTAAAGACAGCAGATGGAGTAAAGGCAGGAGATGATGTACCTGAAAAGGAAATCATTTTCGAGCGGGAGGTTATCAATCTTACAGAAAGTGAACAGGAGGAGCGCAGTCATTCAGTCTAACCACTAAAACTTGCACAGTTTCGCCCCTTTGCTCGCGCTAAAAAACTGCACAGCTTTTTGCCCTTTTTGTATGTGAATTAATAAAAATATTGTCAAACTCTGATTTTTATTTTTATTTACATATAACTATATATTACTATCTTCTCTAGTCTAAACATATATATAAACAATATCACACCACTTAAGCCTCTCCCCATCTGAGAGCGGGTAAGAGGAAAATATATATATATCAAAGTTCCTATAAGAGCTCTATCAGCACAAAGGTCTTCCCTAGATGACCTTTCTCACTGCTTTAAACCTCCCCCACCTGGAAAGATCTAGCAGCCGCGAGAATAAACGGTACCGTAGTACCCGGAAGAACCTTTTTTTTGCTGAGGTACGGGCGGACGAGCAACATTCCCTCGGAGACCAGCTGCCCTCCATTACCGCGTTCTTTGAACCCAGCAGTGTTGTGAAGTAGCAACAGTTGCGTCAGTGAGTTGCAGACCGGGGAACTCCCTCGGAGATGGCAAGCTTGTACCCAGTCACCTGAATCCTTTGTAGTGCCTCTCCCATCTATCAGAGTGATAGAGTTTGGGGAGTCAGAAGTGATCATTATCTACCTTCTTATACTTAGTAATACACAGAAATAAGTCTCTCTATCCCCTTGGGGGATGATTAAACATATTAAACTTGTACCCTGACAGCCCTGAGGTTATGCTGTCCCCGAGTATCACATTCTTTTTCCATGCTCATTATCTTGGAATCTGCCACCAAGTGACCTGAATCCTTTGTTCTACTTCTGTTCTTACTTAGTAATGCATAGGAATAAGTCTCTCTATCCCCTTGGGGGATGATTAAACATATTAAACTTGTACCCTGACAGCCCTGAGGTTATGCAGACCCCCCATTATCACATTCTTTTCCATGGTCATTATCCTGGAATCCGGCAGTGTTCCTAGATCGACAAGGATATACTACCGACCCCAGCACCAGGGCATGGCTGTACACCATACTGCTCAACAGCAAGTGTAATCTGCAGACTCCGGCCCAAGATCATGGCTGTATACCCTGCTGTTCAACAGTCAGTATAACCTGCCGACCCCAGCCCCAGGTCATGGATATACGCTCTAGTGAACTTCATTGTGTGTTTATGGCGCAGTAAGTGTGACCTTCCTTCTCGTGCACCAGGTCATAGTTTGTATTTTTATTCTTGCTCTGCGACTCGGCTGAGGGGACCGATGACCCCCGAAACAGTTAACAGACTTGAAAGATGTACCTCACTAGAGTGACGTATCATTTCATTTTATGAAAACAAGTTTAAGAGCGCAGCTGTCTGCGTCGATGTAGTACTACGAGACAAGGTTAAGTAGATCAAGAAAATGCACATTGTAGAACAAGTCTTTATTCAGACAATTTCGCTCTACGTGCAGGACATAATTTTTTTATTAAGTTCTACACAGAACGAGTACTCCATCCCAATAAAGGCTTGTTCTATAACGTGTATTTTTTAATTGCTACTGTCGACAGTAAGCCATTTAGATTCAGGTTGATTAAGTCGTCAAGGCAGCGCTTTGATAACGAGGGAAGAATCACACCGCCACACTGTACATTGGTGCTTGAATAACAAGGGAAGAATCACACCGCCCCACGGTACGTTGGTGCTTGAATAACAAGGGTAACATCACACCGCCCCACGGTACGCTTGTGCTTGACGAGGAAAGTTTTAGACTGTGCTTCACAAAGATGTCCTCTCAGATAGATTCCTTGATGTAGGCGAGGCGCTGTTGATCAAAGGAATTTGACCTGACATCTCTGAATCGAACCTAATTTCCTCCCATGCGCCCAGGAGCTGCATGACCCTTTCAGGTTTAACAGACCTCTATGACAATAATTTTTTAGGATGCATTTCAAAGTTGTCATTGAAATGGTGTAATGTGAATCCAGAGATTCCTAAAGTAACAAGATTGATGATCTTGAAGTTATGTGATCCATACACACAATGGGAGAAAGAGAGAGGCCTATACTGGAGTATGCATCGCCAGTTTGGAACCCTCACCTAGCCAAACATGTAAGGAAAGTAGAGAAAGTGAAAAGGTTTGGAACAAGACTAGTCCCGGAGCTAAGGGGTATGTCCTACGAGGAGAGGTTAAGGGAAATCAACCTGACGAAATTGGAAGACAGGAGAGATAGGGGGGATATGATAATGACATATAAAATACTGAGAGGAATAGACAGGCGACAGAGACAGAATGTTCCAGAGATGGAACACAGCAACAAGGGGTCACATTTGGAAGTTGAAGACTCAGATGAATCACACGGATGTCAGGAAGTATTTCTTCAGTCACAGAGTTGTCAGAAAGTGGAATATTTCGGGAAGTGATGTAGTGGAGGCAGGATCTATACATACCTTTAAGGAGAGGTATGATAAAGCCCACGGAATGGGTAGAGTGACGGAGTAGCGGCCAGTAAAGAGACGGGGCCAGGTGAGATTCTATCCCTGCAACCACAATAGGTGAGTACACACACACACACACACACACACACACACACACACACACACACACACACACACACACACACACACACACACACACACACACACACACACACACACACACACACACACACACACAGGGGACAGGCCAAATCTATAAAAGGGGGGACTACACAGGTATGAGAAACTTCTTGCAGGGGGTTCAGTGGGACACAGAAATGGTAGGAAAATCAGTAAACGAGATGATGGAATATGTGGCAACAAAGTGCAAGGAGGCAGAGGAAAGTTTTGTTCCCAAGGGAAACAGAAATAATAGGAAGACCAAAACGAGCCCTTGGTTTACCCGAAGGTGTAGGGAGGCAAAAACTAAGTGCAACAGAGAATAAAAAGGTACAGGAGGCATAGGACCCGGGAAAACAAGGAGATTAGTAGAAGAGCCAGAAACGAGTATGCACAGATAAGGAGGGAGGCCCAGCGACAGTATGAAAACGACATAGCATCGAAAGTCAAATCTGACCCGAAACTGCTGTATAGCCACATTAGAAGGAAGACAACAGTCAAGGACCAGGTGATAAGGCTGAGGAAAGAAGGTGGAGAACTCACAAGAAACGATCAAGAGGTATGTGAGGAGCTCAACACGAGATTTAAGGAAGTATTTACAGTAGAGACAGAAGGACTCTGGGGGGACAGACCAGATGGGGACACCAGCAAGGAATACACCAACAAGTGTTGGACGACATACATACAGATGAGGAGGAGGTGAAGAAACTGCTAAGGGACATCGATACCTCGAAGGCAATGGGACCGGACATCTCCCCGTAGGTCCTTAGAGAGGGAGCAGATATGTTGTGCGTGCCACTTACCACAATCTTCAACACGTCCCTGGAAACTGGGCAACTACCTGAGGTATGGAAGACGGCAAATGTAGTTCCCATTTTTAAAAAAGGAGACAGAAAAGAGGCACTAAACTATAGACCTGTGTCATTGACGTGTATAGTATGCAAAATTATGGAGAAGATTATCAGGGGGAGAGTGGTGGAGCACCTGGAACGGAACAAGAGTATAAATGCCAACCAGCACGGATTCACGGAAGGCAAATCCTGTGTCACAAACCTTCTGGAGTTTTATGAAAAATAACAGAAGTAAGACACGAGAGAGAGGGGTGGGTTGATTGCATCTTCTTGGACTGCAAGAAGGCCTTTGACACAGTTCCTCACAAGAGATTAGTGCAGAAGCTAGAGCATCAGGCGCATATAAGAGGAAGGGCACTGCAATGGATCAGAGAATACTTGACAGGGAGGCAACAACGAGTCATGGTATGTAATGATGTATCACAGTGGGCACCTGTGACGAGCGGGGTCCCACAGGGGTCGGTCCTAGGACCAGTGCTATTTTTGGTATATGTGAACGACATGATGAAAGGGTTAGACTCAGAAGTGTCCCTGTTTGCAGATGATGTGAAGTTAATGAGGAGAATTAAATCTGATGAGGACCAGGCAGGACTTCAAAGAGACCTGGACAGACTGGACACCTGGTCCAGCAAATGGCTTCTCGAATTTAATCCTGCCAAATGCAAAGTCATGAAGATAGGGGAAGGACACAGAAGGCCACAGACAGAGTATAGGCTAGGTGGCCAAAGACTGCAAACCTCACTCAAGGAGAAAGATCTTGGGGTGAGTATAACACCGAGCATGTCTCCGGAAGCACACATCAATCAGATAACTGCTGCAGCATATGGGCGCCTGGCAAACCTGAGAACAGCATTCCGATACCTTAGTAAGGAATCGTTCAAGACACTGTACACCGTGTATGTCAGGCCCATACTGGAGTATGCAGCACCTGTTTGGAACCCGCACTTTATAAAGCACGTCAAGAAACTAGAGAAAGTACAAAGGTTTGCCACAAGGGTAGTTCCAGAGCTAAGTGGAATGTCCTATGAAGAAAGATTAAGGGAAATCGGCCTGACGACACTGGAGGACAGGAGGGTCAGGGGAGACATGATAACGACATATAAAATACTGCGTGGAATAGACAAGGTGGACAAAGACAGGATGTTCCAGGGAGGGGACACAGAAACAAGAGGCCACAATTGGAAGTTGAAGACACAAATGAGTCAGAGAGATATTAGGAAGTATTTCTTCAGTCATAGAGTTGTAAGGCAGTGGAATAGCCTAGAAAATGACGTAGTGGAGGCAGGAACCATACACAGTTTTAAGACGAGGTTTGATAAAGCTCATGGAGCGGGGAGAGAGAGGGCCTAGTAGCAACCGGTGAAGAGGCGGGGCCAGGAGCTAAGACTCGACCCCTGCAACCACAAATAGGTGAGTACAAATAGGTGAGTACACACA